TGTCTGTGCACCGAGCCGCGCACAGCCAGCTCCCATCACGTGGTTGGGCGGCCCGCGGGCGCTAAGATCTGCGAGGGATGCGCGAGCGCATGCATGAGGCCCCGGCTCTGGAGGGAGCCCCGGCTCTGGGGGAGGCCTCGTTCTCAAAGCCAGACCGGAATAAGCCTGACCGCCTCGCCGTTCTCAGCGCGCCGCAGGTGCAAGGTGGCAGAACGCCGGCTTCGGGCCGCGAGCAGCTGGGAGAAACACGCGGGTCCTGTGTGTGTTGCTATTCCCCCACCATTCCGTCTGCAGATTTACTTGACTCCGGCAGCTTCATTTTGCCTTCTTCTCTCCGGGGGGTTAGAGACGCGACCTCTGGGATGTTTGCCGAAGCTAAGTAGGTTTGGAGGCAGACTCGGCTTTACAGCACCCAAAGGCTTCTGCCCATGCTGCGTATGTATTTTGCAGTGCGAGTCCCACGGTTTTTTAAAAGTCAGTTATACCCATATTTCAGTGAGATGAAGCATGACAGACAGGTTCCTGAATAGGAGCCTAAAATATTACTATTCCGCTCAATTTAAAAAAAAAAAAATTTAAAAAGAGATAAAGGAGAAATATACTTCCGACATAGGCCGTGTGGCTATAATTCCATGCCCTTTCCTTTTCTATCCATTGCATCCATCTGTCCAGCCAGCCAGCCAGCAAACATGTATGACGTGCCACCGAGGTGCGAAGCAGGAGTCCCTTTACTCACACTGGTCAGTTCAGTTCAACACATAGTCCAACTATACAATTAAACATTGCTGAAGGCCAGGTGAAAATCTAGAATACAAGCCAAGGACACTCGTCCCCCTGTAAGTCAGCACTGCTTTCAAACATGAAGCGACCCCACGCAGCTGTTCCTTGGAGCAGCGAAAGGAACGTGACATTTGGAACCAAATAGATGTGAGTTCGAATCCTGCTTCACGTTCTTGCCCTTGTATGGCTCTGTGACTTTGGGCAATTTCTACTTTACGGGATCTTTTCTTTGCATGTAATATAAGAATATATTGTAAAAATAAAGTAACATATATAAAGTGTCCACATTGAGCATGGCCTATGATAAGTCTATAGCAAGTGCTATCGGTGACATTTAAGCATAGAACTGAGTTCTTATCATCATTTAAAGAACATCTCTTTACATATCAGGGGCCATGTCATTTGCATTTTGTAAGTATGCGGTGAATAAATATTTGATGAATAACTCAAAGAATGAATATTTCTATTTGGGTGCTCACAAGACTTTGTAAAACACCAGTTTGCTCGAAGAAGCGTTCCCATAGTTTTCTGTTAAACATGTTCACATCTTATTATTCCATGTTTATATACCTCTAGGGTTCTCAGGTTTGTCATTTATTTGGGGGCAAAAGACAAAGTGACACAGCAACCAAACAGATGCCTTTTCTCTCTTTCTTACTGGACCCTGACCAGAGATTACTTAGATAGATGCCTTCTGATTTGGCCTTAGAAACTTCCCGAGTAAGGTAAAGCTTCCCATGGGCCCAGATCACCCCCTTCCAAGGAGGTCCAAAGTCTTAATCACCGACTGTGTGAGGGGACAGCGGGAGAACCCTGGGGGGCCTGACTGACTCCCAGAGCAGACCTGTACCCCTGCAGCCCCAGGACCAACTCAACATGCCAGCCATTCTCCAGATCAGAGGTATGCTGACAAGTCCAGCATCCTCCACTCAGGCGAGTCAACAGACCAAAGGTCGAGGAGGAGCAACGAGATTCTGGTCATCGGAAAATGTCTCCAGCCCAAGAGACTGGTACAACGCTTTGCAAACTTTAATATGCCTATAAGTCATCTGGAGACCCTGTTTTAACTGTAATGAGCACGCAAGCGATGCCCTCGCCGCTGCTCTGGGGTCCACATTTTGAGCATTGAGGCTCAAGTGGTCCACAGACTCAGCTGCACATTAGAATAACTCTGGGAGCTCTTAAAACTGTGGCACTTGGATATCATCCCTTACTCCATGGCCAATCAAACTGTATCTGGCGGGGGGTGGGAGGGAAGAGACCCAGGCGCTAGTACTTTGAAAACCTCCTTTGGTGATTCCAATATGTAGGCAAAGTTGAGAATTATTGCAATAGACCAAGAACACATTCTAAATTTCCAGCGACTGGGAATTAGCATTTGAAAAGCACTGGCCATATTTCAGACTTTCATTTAGGCATTCTACATCAATTAATTTTCTAAATAGTAACTGGCATAACAAAATGATACCTGGTACATGTACAGCTTCTTATAATTTTACAAGAAATTCATATTCTGCTTTCATTTCATTTTTTTTTTAAATTCACTGACATAGAAATTACACGATTGATTTTCTAGACGAGTAAAATGAGGTGCCTACCCGTAACCGGCCCTAGAGCAAAGAGTGCGTGTGGGAGATGCTCGGGCCCCCCGTCCTCCCGCGATCTGGGTTTCCCAGGCTCTGCTCCCTCACCTGGGGCTGGGTCTATGAGGACGGCCACGCTCGTAAAGTGCATATACGAGTCATGTCCACGACACCGGGCACATCGCAGAGTCTGAAGAGGCTGTGTCACTCCCAGCCGAAGACATTTTCTCTGATGCACAGAAAGACCGAGACCGGAGCATAGAAGGAGCTCAGTCCATGAGGGTCCCCGGCAGACTGCGAGCAGGGGCCACAAGAGACTTACTTCGACAGCAGCAGAACCCAGAGGCCTACGTGGCGCAGGATTTTTGATTCCGCCAGAGATGACAGAATCGGCCTCCCCTTCCCCCACAGGGCCTAATGGATAATCTGTGCTAGAGTCGCCTTCTAAAAATCATTGGAAAATAATCTGCTTACCGCACCGAAACACTGGTCATAACGCTAACCACTCCTGCTGGTAGACAGGCCATCCCAATAATTTTTACATGATGACCCTTCTATGGGAGAAAGCTGCTGGGCAGGTCCTGTGTAGATGGCCGCAGCTTTTATGTGGGGAGCTAAAGTGGGACCTCTTTTAGCAGGAAGAGCAGAAGGCCCCCACGGAGGGGATGCGGTAGGGGGACAGCATTGTTCCTCCCACCCCAGCTGGGGCCTTGATAAAAACCAACAGGAGCTCAGGTCTACCTGATGTCCCTCTCATTTCTGTGCCAGGACCCCAAATTGCCTGCCAGTCCAAGGGACCTAGTCCACTCTAAACAAGTGAACCAATTGCCACTGTTCTCGGTGTGGGAAGGTTTGCTCGTTAAGCTTCCATTTGCTGACTCATGAATTCATGGGTTCTCCCCCCACCCCGCTTGACGCCGACTCCAGCTTGAGGTGCCAGTGAGGCCTCACCCACCTCCTGTGCCAAACCTCCTCCCCCCTTGTCAGTCTCTGCCGGGCATTCTTGGAACAAAGGTGTCTGAGGGGACAGGAAACCCAGGAGAAAGTCCCTTCTCATGATTTGCTTGGGGGCCCAGAATTAGTCTTTGGAGGAGCTATATCGCTGGGGGTGGGGAGGGAGTGTGTGTGTGCGTGTGTGTGCGTGTGTGTGTTAGTATAATAGGGAATCAGAAATGGCCATTATTTGCCTGCGCTGGCATTTCTTTGGAGTCCTAAGCTAACTGGATAGCGATGAGCATATACCGTAGAATCGTTAGGCCTTCGATCAAATGTTGCATAAAAATATCTCTCAGCAAGTGAGTGGGGCCGTTTGAGGTGGAGACGGTAAAGTGAGAGAGGGCTTCGCGGGCTAAGTGGCAGCAATGCTGGGTGACGTCCTGCTTTTTCCAGCCTCCGATTCTCCCGTGTATACACTGCAAAGACCTAAGAGCTGCCCCTGATTTCTCTTTGCCTCCGACCCACAGAGGGAACTGAACTTGTGCATTCGGCCCTCAGGACGGAAGCCGAGGGAAAACGTAGTGTTAGTCGTGGTTATTTTAAAAACGCTTAGCTTATTGTCAGCTTGAGTTCTCTGTAATGACCACACTGCCATATATAAACTCTTTGAAAATAGGTGTTTGTATGATGATCGGGAGACATGTAGGATTCTACAGGGCTTTTTAAATTATCAAAGATATTTTGATGTATTCGGGGCAGCTTTCCTGGATTTTATCACAGTCGTTTTTGTTTTGAGAATTCAGATCTGCGTAGATTTTCTGCGGTAACTTTGTTAATCAGAGCATTAGATGAAGCGGAGCTTTCTGATGGTGCTGATGAGTAATGAATAGCTATAATTCTCAAATAGCCCTTTTCACAGACTTGTGCCCAGGCTGGGCTGGGCGTGGGGCCTGACAAGGGATCTTGGTGACTGCTAGGATTCTTGGCACTCACGGGTGCTCCTGAGTGTACGTGATCTTGAACTGTCCGGAGGAGCTGTGGGAAGAGCTCCCGGGGCGCTCACACGGGATTCGAGAACGGGCCCCTGGGCCAGCTTTACAAACAGCCACGTAACGTGGATAAAATAAGAACTGACTTCACTGTCTGCCCTGAACTCACACCAAGAACTTTCTGAGGAGGGAAAAAAAATCCCATTAATCAGTGTGCAGCTACGATCTTCACACACCCACACTGTGTAATGTTGACTGAAACCAAACCGCGAGAGAGGGGACTCGCTTAGTGACATTCCCCAGCTGACCCAGCAAGAGAGGCAAGGTCACAGGACTCCTGACAGAGCAAACCGGGGAATGAGCGCGCAGAAGGAAACCCGCCAATGACCCCCAAATTTCACGTCAGTCTTTCTAAATAGTTCGAACATTCTCTCGGAAAAAGAGTGGCTGGCACTACCGCCCTTGAAAAATCAAGAGAACCACCAGGTGACAGACTTTAAGTCAAACCTATGCGTCGTGCAGCACATGCCATTGTCCCCGTTTGCAGAGTCTGGGCCCACCCTGCTGTTCACACATCCCAGCTTCGCCACGAGAATATCTCGGTGAGCCTGGAATGCCGCGAGATGTCAGCATCAATTTCAGGGTGCGTCCCACCCGCTGGCCAGCCCGAGCCCACCGGGACAGCGTGCGCAGTGTGTCCCCCCCCGCTTACCTCAAGCACAATTTCTTTCAGCTGGAACTGTTTCTGCGCGGTTTTATCTGAGGACACGGGCTCGTGGTAGTAGAGGCAAAGCAAGTCGTATTTCTTCAACACCTGCTTGAAGTTCTTCTCGGTGAGACTCACCACGCGGTCCTTGCCGTCATACGTGGGGAAGTTCAGGCCCTCTTCTGCCCTGCAGGAGGACAGAAGGCAGACCCCCACGACAAACAGATGAGTCTTCTTCATCTGGGAGACGTTGGGTTTTCTTTCCCAGAAATACTGAGCGCGGGAAAGAGGAGGGGAGACTGGTAGGGGGGCTTGCTGAGAGGGGCGGGGGGCAGAGAGGCCGACTCTGTCTCTCCTGCCCTTTCTGGGCCCCAGAGCTGACTCTTCCCCTCCTCGCGTCCAGCTACTGTAGTCACGGGCTTGGGAAGAAGAGAGCGAGGCGCACACACACATGCGTGTGTAGACTGGGAGCCAGGCCGGGCGGCCAAGCCCCAGATACCGCACATAGCTCTGCCCAGCCCCTGTCTCATCAGGAGCTCCATTTTTAGGATACACTTGTTTCAGGCTAAAAATAAATCGTGCAATGAATTAAAAAGTTCGCTATGCCACTGTTGAGGGATTCGCTGATATGGTCCGCCAGAGGGGTGGAGAGGGAGGAGGCGGGAGGACAGAGGAGAACGTGTGTGTGAACGAAGGAGGCCGTGAAGGTCAAAGGAGAGACACGAACTCGGAGCAAGGAAGAGAGAAGGGGAGGAGAGAGCCGGGACCGTGGCACCGATAAGCAGATGGAGATGCTGGAACATACATGGTGCCACGCAGACATCACTGAATCGTGCTATTATCTAGGGAGGCAATTCAGCCTGTCTCTCGGTGGGGACAGCTCGTCCGTCCCCCTGCTCGCTCACTGCCAAGTGAGAACAAAAGGAGCCCAGAAGTGGACTTCACATTCTGCCTTTCCTGCCTCCTTTCTTCTCTGCTGAGAAACCCAGCCCTGGCTGGTCACCCGCCCTGCTCACATGGCTCCGCCAGTCATTGGGTGAAGGGTACAGGGACACCCTTTCCTGCCAGCCCTCCACATAAAGGGCTCCAGGGGCATCAGCCCACCCAAGGCCACAGTTCCTCCTCTCCCACCCCTGACCACAGCCGAACTCTGCCGCCGTCAAGAGAACCCGTCCCCATTGTAAAAGTGAATAAAAGTTCACTGAGGTTTCTCACCATCAACCCTATCATATTTCACTTTTTACGCTAAACCCTAATGTACTTTACTCCTTTCTTCTTCCTTAGAGACAGACTGGTATCAAGGGTCTAGAAGCTGACAGATGAGAGTTCAAATCCCCCCTCTGCCTTTTAATGGCTGAAGGAACTTTGGAGGGTCACTCACCCTCTCTGATTTTCAGCTCCCCCCATGTTAACTGGGAATAATTGTAACTATATTATGAGTTTGGGCACATATAGATGGAAAAGCCATGGTACAAAGCAGATGTCCAAACACGGTCGCCATTATACTTATTTCATTCTCACTGGAGATGCCGGAACATAGGTTATTGTAATAATTACCTCCTAACGGTAATGGTTTGTGAACGCTTTCCTGACCATTTTCTCTGATTCCAACAGGCAATCGAGACAGAAGCGATTAGTGCTCATTTCACAGGCGAGCTCGCTGAAATCCAAAGACATTAGCAACCTGCCTGAGACCGTGGACTAACTGCCAGTGCGAGGACTCAGCTCTGCCTGGGAGCCTGGTGCTCCGGCTGCTTCACCTCTGACTCAAGGCAACACCCCTGCAGACCTCCAACTCTGACGTGGCTTCTTGACCATCTCTTCTGGTCAAACACCAGTTTTTCTGACTCTTTAGAGTGGTCTATGGCTCTTATGATTTGGACCAAGTGTTTAGCTTCCCTCGGCTGGAAAAAATCAGCTTTGAAGATAGCGAGGACTGTGTCCTGAACAAGGTTTGCGGGGATGGAAGGGGAGAAGTTCAGTGGGCTACGGGAGTAACATCCGGCCTCTACTGCTGCCTTGTGCTGGGAATAAGGCTGACTAGGACTCGTTTCCAGGCACGTTCGTGTCCAGGGGGCCAGGCCCTTGGAGAGCCTGTCATCGAAACCCATGATAGCATTCAGTTCTTTCTAATGGTGAAGTCTCTATGCTTTAAAAGTTGGAGCCAAGAATAGCCATTCTAAGGCTTTCCAGGTCACTGGCAAACATGTGAGATCTCTGCTTTCTTTAGAAAAAAAAAAATTGGGGGGAAGGGGAGCGGATTTCTGAGCAAAACAATGTAGGTCTTATCTTTTCGAGGTCAGCTTCCCAAACCGTTCCCGGTTGTGCCAATCTCGTTGGCTTATCTTTATTTAGAATTTGCTCCACTTTTCTTAATATGTGAGATTCTTTTTTTCATGTTACTGAAAAACTGGGAGATATTTAAAGTCAGAGTCTTTGAATTTCCTACTGACTTGCAACTGACAAAAAGTACCAAGGCAAAGGGATAATTATTTAAAATTTAGTCTAGCCCTCAACTCTGGCTTACGACCAACTGAGCAGTAATAGAAAAAAAGCCCCAGTGTGGAAAGTTCCCATCCCTAAGTCCTGGTCTCTATTTGGGGCCTCGCAGCCCCATCCCTGAGGGTGGGTCGACCACTGACATATGCTGTGACGATCGGGTTTCCCACTGTCCATGTGAGGACCTAAATTTGTGTCCTGCTCTCAATAAGGATAGGTTTTCATGACCTGCTTACTGTGTACCAGCCTTTTCTCTGGCTACCTTTTATTTTTCTATTTTTGTTTTACTTTGCCTGATTGCTCACCAAGTTTAATTAATTTATTTTCTAAACAGGGAAAGCGTCTGACATTTCTGAGTCAACTTTGCACCTAGCAAGTCAGCTGTTTCGTTTCAGACTTAGCTGTTGCTTAAGGCATCACACACTCCCGGTGTATGTGTTCGTGCTAAAGAGTGTGTATTTTTGTGTGCTGTTAGGAGGGCCTTTTGTTTTGTTTCACTTTTTTGAACAAGGGATAAAACAAAATAAATAAATCAGTACACATACATGTTAATAATTGTCACGATGTAAAACGTAGGCTCCTCGTTTCGCGAACGATTTCTGGTCTATCACTAGAACCCCTTCATCTAACCTTGCCCTTGCATTTTATTCTTGACAGGTGGCCAAGTGATTTTGCATATACTATTTAATTTGATCGTCACAGCAATCCGTTTTATAGATGGATGAGGATTTGAAGCTATGGTCTCTCATTAATTTGTTAATTAAACACATTTGCATGGAGCTTCTTCTATGTGCCAGGCACCTTCTTCTGGGTACTGGGGGTAGATAAACTGTAAACCGGAACTCACGGAGCTTACATCCTAGAGGGGAAAACAACAATCAAACAAAATGCGATGCAAAATGCGGTGCGTGTGTGTGCGTGTGTGTGTGTGTGTGTCCGCGCACGTGCGCAATATGACATTACACAGAAGCATGAGCTCTGAAGAACGACTGAGAAAGTCAAAGGAGAGCCTGTGACCGTGCGAAGGGGGTGGCCCTCCTGGGCCGTGGTCCAGGCAGCATCTCTGAGGCGGGAACGCGGGAGCGGCAGGGGGAGCGCCGCTGGGCAGGCGGCCCCGGGGCCAAGCGGCGGAGCCGGCCCGCTCGGCCCCGCGCAGATGCCACCGCTAGAGGGGGCTGCGTCGCCTCTTCCTTCCCGCTCCGCAGCATCAGTTTCCGCTCAGTCTTTTTCCGTTCATAACAGACGTGGGTTCGCACCTGCGCTGGACGGTCTACGGGGCGAGGAGACCTACCTGAGCGACCCGGAGTCACCCAGCGTGGGACGGCAGTGACCGGGGAGGCAGGAGACCTGCGTTCCGGCTGCTCTGACTGCGCCTGGCCGTGCGACCTTGGTCAAGTCACGTCACCTGTCGGCCCGCGCATTTCCGATTCCTGGGCAAGAGGGTCAGACTCACTGGTCTCCTGCGGCCCCTTTCTGGCTCTGAGGCTTTAAATGCCGTTCGGCCCACGGAGGACTTTCTGTGACCGGGCTGGGCCCGGCACATCCCGCCGGGGTGGGACCGTCTGCGGGGCGTCGCTGGGAGGAGGGGGCCGGGGGCGCGACTCCACGGGTCCAAGCTCGCCTCCTGCCCAACGCCGAGACCCAGGACGTCACCGCGGCCGAAAGCCCCTTCGTCGGCTAAAGTGCCCCACCCAGTGGACAAAGCCGAGTATGACACCTGCCTTTGTTTCGTCCCCTTCCTCCCTCCCATTAAGCTAGGCCACTGGCCTGGGAAATACAATACAGCCTGTTGGCCTGGTAGCGAAAGTTCCAGAAACGCTTCTGCCTACAGCCCCGTGCTCCCCGGCCGCAGGCCTCGTCTGCTCTGCTCCGAACAGTCCTGTTCGCAGCCCCAAGGCCTCCTTTCCTTTTTACTCTGAGTATCAGGCAGCCTCAGAAACTCCTAAACAGAACCAAGCAGGAAAAAAAAAATCAATGCTGGGTTGAGAAACAGCCCCACAGCTCTACCAATAACAATTCCAGGTTTTGACAAATGTCACTCACTTCCTCAGGGAGGCCCTCGGCCCGGGCACGGGGCTCATTCCCGCCCCTTACACACTCTGCTTCTCCCTGGAAACGCTCCCCCGCTGGTGACCCTTTCAGCCGGACTGAACCTTCCTGCAGCGGGACGCATCATATCATTCCTCACGACCAGCTCCGCCTACAGTAGTTCTCATTAAATATTTACTGAATACATTCGATGCACTTATTTTGCACCAGGCTTTATTTTAAGTACTTAACCAATTTAACTCCTTTATTCTTAGCAACGCTATGAGGTTGATAATTTTAGTATCCATTTAACAGATGGGTAACCCGAGGCACAGAGGGGTTAACTAATGTGCCTAGGGTCACATGGCTAGTAACGGCAGAGCTGGGATTTGAATCCAGAGAATGGGCGGCTTTGTGTATGTTTTCTACCAGCTAGATGCCACTCACAGGGCGATGATAAAGTCACTAGGACAAACCAGGAATCACTTCACCACAGTGGATGGCTGCCCATCTGGGCACAGGTCATGAGTTTTGGCCCTGCGCCAGGTCACCTCTTTGCTTTCTGAGTATACAGGAGGAAACGGAAGAAGAAAACTAAGGTTTTCAGTGCTCACTATGAGCCCATCACTGGGCTCATCACATGTTATATACATCATCTCATTGAAATCCTACCCAACTGGCTATTATTCTTTCTACTTCACAGATGAGGAGACTGGGGTTCAGGAAAGTCAAGTCATCTGCCTGTCACACAGCTGGTAAGTAATGGAGACTAGATTTAGATCCTGGTCTGTCTGACTGGTCCTGACCCCAGGCTTCCCTGTGTAGGAAGAGGGAGCCTCCTCTGTTTCCTTCCGAGACAAACAAAAATGGGGAAACTTAGATTCCCCAGAATTTACAAGATAAGAAAACAAAGGGAAAC